TGTTAACAACATGACAAACATTATGCAAATGTTGAGCAAATGTTTTCCAGTAATTGAACCAAAAAAAAAAATTGAACCTGGTGCTCATTTCTACATCTGACCCAATACCAATTACTGCAAAGAAAATTCTGAGAGGATTTGATATGAGTAAGGAAATAACTGACTGAATTTCCATTCCTTTGTTAGCAACTCAAAGATTTTCAGTCTCACAATAACAAACTGATACCCAACAAAAACAGAAGTCGCTGGGAACAGAACCCTGACGAAGGGTCGTGGACTCGAAACATTCACTCACTTTCCTTTCTCCATAGATGCTGCCTGACCTGCTGAGTGTTCCCAGCGACTTCAGTTTTTGTTTCAGATTTCCAACATCTTGCTTTCCAGGGGGTAATAACCCCTTCAAAATAATAATAATAATTTGGTCACTCAATCCATGACTGTTCGCAGGACACTGCTATATGCCGTTGGCTGCTGTGGTTTGCCTACAAAATATACAGTCAATTCATTTTACAGTATATTCTGTGAAGTGCTTTAAAGCGTCTCAACAACGTGATAAAATGCTACATTAAATGCCAGGATTATTGTAATGCATGGTTTCTATATACTATAAGCAAATCCTTTCAGTTCCTAAGTGAAAGATTCCATTAAAATCGTCTCCTCCCTCCCCTATATTAGGGGGTATAACTATAAAGTTATTACTTAATAATAGAATTATCGCTTAAATAATGAAAAACTAATAGAAACACCACACTAAAATGCAAAATAATCCTTTAATTTAAAAAAACTAGAAATCCAGTATACTGACCTTTCCCACAACTACAAGTTAATTTCCTTGATACATATAAACTCTGTACTCATCCCACTTAGCAATAGCACATGCCAAATAACAATCACCACGAATAGGACAGCATGAAGAATAGGCATGGAACAGTGGCCTGAGAGGATACCGTGTACTTACTCTCCAACAACAGGCATCAAACTATATAGATTAGCAACAACATCAACTTGCATTTATATAGGGCTCTCCATGCAGGGTAGTGTCTCAGAGCACTTACCAGTGGGCAAGGTGGGGAGACTGAGGGTGTTCCAGAGTTTCTGAAAGCGCGACCTCCAATGGTGGGGCGGAGAATGCGAGGGACGAGCAGGAGGCCGGTGCCAGTCGAGCGGAGGCGCCAGGTGGTGGATTGGGGAGTCAGGAGGTCGGAGAGGTAGGGAAGTGCCAGAGAGTGAAGGAATTTGAACACGAGTGTGAGGATCTTGAGGTCGATCCGTTCGGTGATGGGGAGTCAGTGGAGCCTGGCCAGAATTGGTGAGATGTGAGTACGTAGTTTGGTCAGGGTCAGTATGCAGGCAGCAGAGTTCTGAATGAGCTGGATCTTTTGAATAGTGGAGCTGGGGAGACCGGCGAGGAGTGATTTGAGTAATCCAGGCGGGAGGTGATAAACACATGCACGAGGGTTTGGGTTGCATTTGGGGTAAGGTACGTTCGGCGGCGGGCAATGTGGCAGAGGTGGAAGAAGGCGGTCACTTAAGATTAAATTGATTAACAACTGGGATTAAAAGAAGAAGGATATTATGTGAAAAATAACTGAAAACAAAACTGAATGAACAAATTTGCACAACATAAAAATATTTGGTAACACAACACAAGGTGGCGCTGTTCAAAATTCAGATCGTAGAGTGCTAGAAATAATCATTTAATATATAAATAAAACTTGCAATTTTATAACATCTTGTCACAACAGACTGTCTCAAAGCCATTTACAATAATTACTGTCAAGTGTAGTGGCTATTGGTACATAGACAAATCTGCACCTGCAACATCCCACAAACAACAGTGAATGATCAGTTGATCTGCTTACTTTCTCCATGTTAATAAATAATAATAATAATGCTTGCATTTGATATAGCGCTTTTCACGTCGGGAGGACGTCCCAAAGCGCTTCACAGAACACACTGTAAAGTGAATTGACTGTATATTTATGGGCGAACGCGGCAGCCAATTGCGTAGAGCAATGTCCCACAAACAGTCGTAGATTGAAAACGACCAATTTATTATTGTTTTTTGTTTTGGAGGGATTATTATTAGGCGTGTGGAGTAAGGAAACTTGCCCAAGGTTTAGCCCTGCCTGGAATTGAACTCAGGTCTCTCGCTTGCAAAGCGAGTGCTCTAACCACTGAGCTACAGGACTCCACTTAAATCCACTTAAATGCAACCTAAACTGACAATGAACTCTGTTTATTGAGAAAACTACCTTAATTCAAATCAATAACCAAATGCACTCATTACAATTCAGTCCATAGATTATTCTCGTTACATCAATGACTTTAGCTTTGAACTTCTCTCTCAGGAATCTCTGTTAATTCTGGATACTCTCGCAGGGGCTGCTGCTGTTTGGCTCAGTTAAGTTATTCAGTCTTCCCCCCATATTGATCCCTCAAATTAGCAAGGAATAAAATACAAAGTTAATTCCGCTTTTTAACTTTTCCATGAGTCACCACATTTGTTTTGCAGCCTCAGGATGTGCAAGTAATTCAGGAACAGAATTCAGTTTTTTGTTATTGAAGGTAAATTCCTCTTCAATTAGTATTCTTAAACAGTTCTGTCAATCACAGAGATTCCAGCACCCTGAAAATAACAACCAGGGCTTGAATCTAGCTTCTGCGCCTTGAAGTGAGAATGCTATCAATAATAATAATAATAATCCTTGCGTTGATATAGCGCCTTATCACGTCATTGAGACGGCTCAAAGCACTTCACACAATATACTTTCAAGTGGATTTACAGTTCATTTTGTGGGTGAACTGAGGCAAGTTGACATATCTGGTCTCAGTTGGTCTCCTTGGGTGTGGGGGCCTTTAAAGTAAAAACAATTTTGAGTCCCATACAAAACCAGAGCATTCACATGCATTACACATTTACAATTTTAAAGATGTTTTGCACATTAATGGACTGCTAACCCATGAAGTTACAGAAGGCTATGGTATTTCCTACAAGAACTGCTATGGCCATATAATTACAGTCAATTAATGTCGGTCCTCCACTCAAAAACTCCTGATGCCTCTTCACCTGATGTTAGCAGCTCATGTCCACTTGTTTGAACAGTGTCCTCTCCAAAACAACAACAGAATTACATTTGTATACACAGTGCATCGACAACAACAACTTGCATTTATATTGCACCCTTCACACGGGTGGCATCTTGGAGCACTGAGAAGATCTACCACATCACTTAAATGGCACTTTGTGAGAGCCTGTTGCACTCTCACCAGTGCCACTCGTGGTTGGCTGAAAGCTTCCTATCGCACAAAAATTCAATCAAATGATTCTTTGTAGTCCAATTGGATTTATAGAATTCAGACTCACTTGGCCTCTAACTGAACTTGGTGGCATGTTTCATTTGCAAAACATTCAATCCAGGATTTCTGGGAAAGATGAGAGTAAAGAGCACAAATCACTAGCAAACCATTCCATTCCTGTTTATTCTATTCTTGAATGTTTACTGCTATTTTTGTCCAGTACTGAATAGCTCATTGCTTTGCCCATTTCCTTCTCTGTTGTTAGATTCTCAAGATCAATACAACAGAGATTTGTGTATCCGTGGTAGTTAACTCGTAAAGAAATCTCCAGTCTTGCCCTTCTCCCTTTGTCTTTTATTGTTCCTGTAAATTAATCATTAATTTTAGTTGATTCTTTTCTGCTCATTCCCCATTCTCTGGATGTGTCGTATCAACTCTGCACTATAGAACTGCACTACCAGGCCAATAATCTACCTACTCCTTATTCTTAGTATAGTGAAACCTGTTAAATCTCTATTTAGCAACCACCTGCTGTCAACAACAATCTTGAAACAGTCCCAACCAATTTTCACAATAAACCACCTCTATTCAGTAACCAACTGTCTAACACAACCAGTGGCCACCCTTTCTTAGCCCTGTCAGTGTACAGTTTTACACCTTTTCAGTGACCAGTTCTAAGTGAATTTAAGTGTACTTACCTGTAATGCATTATACATTTCCACACAGCCCACATGATGTACACAGTTTCCCATCTCACCAGTGAGGCAGTGTTGGTGAATGCGCTATGAGTTTAGCGAGAGTCTACACACATGGACCCACAGAATTTATTTTCGTTTTAACTTTTTCTGGCCCAGTGAACAAAACCTTACTGAGGGTGACCATTCATCCCCGATTTCCAGGGACAGTCCCCGGATAAGGTATTGTGTCCCTATTTGGCCAAATTTGCCCGTCTGGAGTTCAGCAACAAACTGAGCAAAAATAATCAAATTCTAAAACAAATTAATTCAACCGAGAAATACAGCCATTAATCCAACAAGTTTTCCCAGCAACTGCCAGCATCAGGAATTATGGTAAGTTCAATTTTTTTGATATATGTCCCCAGATTTGGTTTACAAATTATGATCACTCTACCCTTATCTACCTTTACTTCAATGGAAATCTCAGCTTGGTTTTGATACTCTTAACAACAACAACTTGCATTTATATAGCGCCCTTCACACTGAGTAGCATCCAGGAGTACTAGGGGGAGAGGGAGGACGGTAATGGATTTACACGTGTGTCACACACCCGGCTAACCCCCCCAAAACTGTACTGGTGGCCCCTATCCTGCTGGGGGTGCTGTGCCCTGTATTTTGTTTCCATGCATCCCACCTCCACATGGAAATCCCAGAGATAAGATTCCTGGAATTAAATGCACGCTCTCTCCCTGGAGGGACACATTCTGCTTACCTAATTCCGGACAGTATTAGGCGCAGGGTGTCAAGAGCCAAGGCTTGGGAACCCCAGACTGTGTGTTGTGGTACTGCTGGCGTCTAACCAGCTGAAGCCACATAACTTGCCATTGTTATTGCTGTCCGGCAAGCTTTCCCGCTGCTTGCCCAGCTGGGACCACGCTGCCCGTTAGGTACAGGGTGAACGCAGGAGCTGAGTGGGAGGATTCCCTGACCCCAGTGACTGGTCTGCTATTCCGGGTCCTGCCGATGAGCCCGACTGGCCGTGCTGTCACCTTGTGCCTGTCAGTACTGCGGACCCACCTGCCTCAGGGACCAGACTACCGAAACCGCCACAGAGGGCTGACTCGATTCCGACCGTCCATTGCCAGTTCAGTCCAAGGAGACCGACCCCGTATTGCCCTGTATTGCGGCTTGTGTCCTGCGGGGGGAGGGGAGGGGAGGGGAGGGGAGGGGGGGCGCTGTTGCCTGGAAATCCTAGAGATAGATTGTTGCAATGAAATGTCCTGGAGGGACACATCGCGCTGCCTCATTCCGGACAGCACTGGCGGCTCCTGTCCTGCGGGGGGCGCTGTTGCGCTGCGCTGGCGGCTCCTGTCCTGCGGGGGCGCTGTTGCGCTGCGCTGGCGGCTCCTGTCCTGCGGGGGCGCTGTTGCGCTGCGCTGGCGGCTCCTGTCCTGCGGGGGGCGCTGCGCGGGCCGCGGGTGATGCCATCTTGTCCGGGGTCAGGAGAAGAGCTGTGGCTGCGGGGCCTCGGGAGTTGGTACCGTCTCGGCCGCTCAGTCCCTCCCTCCCTCCCTCCCTCCCCGGGGCTGTGAGGAGCCGCAGCCATGACCCGTCGGCCCGCGCGGAGCTGAGCCTCTCCCCTCGCGGTGACACGGCGGCTGCGGGAGACTCGAGAGGCCGAGAGGAGGTGAGTGTGAGAGAGGCCACAGAGAGAGAGAGAGAGACCCGGGGGTGTGGGGACGAGGGGGCGCCCATAGCCGGGCTGGCGGGGGTCTGGGGGGGGGGGGGCGTCTGGGGGGGGGGCAGCGTCTGGGGGGGGGTGGCTGGCGGGGCCTGGGGGGGGGCAGCGTCTGGGGCGGGGGCCTGGGGGGGGGGCAGCGTCTGTGGGGGGGAGAGCTCCGGGGGGGGGGGGGGCAGCTCCTGTGGGGGGGCGCTGGGGGCAGCTCCTGTGGGGGGGTCTGGTGGGGGGCAGCTCCTGTGGGGGGGGGGCAGCTCCTGTGGGGGGGGGCTGGGGGGGGGGGGGAGCCTGGGGGGGGTCTGGGGGGGGGGGGGGGGGAGCTCCTGTGTGGGGGGGGCGGGGGGGAGCTCCTGTGGGGGGGGTCTGGTGGGGGGCAGCTCCTGTGGGGGGGGGGCTGGGGGGGAGCTCCTGTGGGGGGTCTGGTGGGGAGCTCCTGTGGGGGGGGCTGGGGGGGGGGAGCTCCTGTGGGGGGGTCTGGTGGGGGGGCTGGGGGGGAGCTCCTGTGGGGGGTCTGGTGGGGGAAGCTCCTGTGGGGGGGTCTGGTGGGGGGCAGCTCCTGTGGGGGGGGCTGGGGGGGGGGAGCTCCTGTGTGGGGGGGTCTGGGGGGGCAGCTCCTGTGGGGGGGGGGCTGGGGGGGGGAGCTCCTGTGGGGGGGGGCTGGGGGGGGGAGCTCCTGTGTGGGGGGTCTGGTGGGGGGCAGCTCCTGTGGGGGGGCTGGGGGGGGAGCTCCTGTCGGGGGGCGCTGGGGGGCAGCTCCTGTGGGGGGTCTGGTGGGGGAGCTCCTGTGTGGGGGGGGCTGGGGGGGGAGCTCCTGTGTGGGGGGGTCTGGTGGGGGGCAGCTCCTGTGGGGGGGGGGGCTGGGGGGGGGAGCTCCTGTCGGGGGGGGGGGGGGCGCTGGGGGCAGGTTGTTGGGGTTTGTCGTTGGGGTTGAAGTTTACAGCGTTGTTGCCTCTTCTCCCCCATTTGTAACTTGATGGATCAGGTATTGCACAGCTTTTAATCAGCTATTAAGTCATTCAGAGTGAAGGTGGAAATCGTTCTGCTTTTGTCATAAAATACCCCAAACGGAGAGGTGGAGACGACTGCATTTTTTTTTAAAACAAAATGTTTTTGGCTGATGTGAAAACTCCTCCTGAACCTAACATGCGGGACATCCACCAAAGCAGCCATTAATCAGTTATTCCTGCTTGATCGGATTTAAATTATTCATCCTCCACTTAACCTGGACATTGACAAAGATGTTTGCAAATGCTGCCTGTGCGGGCGGTGGTGAAAAGAATGAGAATGTGATTGATTTCACGTGTATAATTTGTGTACCAAGCAGTTAAAGGTATTTAATAACAAGCCTAAAAGGTAGTTTTACTTTCAGACATTGAAACGTCTAGATAAGGGTGTCATGAGACAGTTCTGTTGTTTTGTTGCTAGGGTGGGGGAAGAGGAAGGAAGGAGATTTATATTTAAAAGTACAAGCATTCCAAAAGCATCCTTATCAAGTCTAAAAACAAACGAGTCCAGTAGTTTTGTTTCCGCACGTAAAGTTGTTAAACATTGCAGTGTTGTTTAAACGGTGGACACGAGAGAGTAACAAAAAATGTCATTTTCCCCCTAATTTTGCTGGTGCTTCATTTGTTATCACAAATACTGTTTAAAAACTTGTCAAATCACTTTGCCACCGATGTATCAAACAGCCTGTGAAAGATTCGTGTTGTGTTTGCCTGGCAGATAATTGCCTACAGAATACAGTTACTACAGTGCAGTAAATCCTGTGAAGTGCTTTGAGATGTTTCAGTGACAGTTAAGGAGTTATATCAAATGCAATGATTATATATTATGAGATTGCAAATGCATCAGGTTTATATTTAAGATATGGAGTCCTGTAGCTCAGTGGTTAGAGCACTCGCTTTGCAAGTGAGAGACCTGAGTTCAATTCCAGGCACAGGGCGAAACCTTGGGCAAGTTTCCTTACTCCACACGCCTAATAATAATCCCTCCAAATTGGTCATTTTCAATCTACGACTGTTTGTGGACATTGCTGTGCGCAATTGGCTGCCGCGTTCGCCCACAAATATACAGTTAATTCACTTTACAGTATATTCTGTGAAGCGCTTTGGGACGTCCTCCCGACGTGAAAAGCGCTATATCAAATGCAAGGATTATTATTATTATTATTATTTGCAAGCGAGAGACCTGAGTTCAATTCCAGGCAGGTCAGGGCGAAACCTTGGGCAAGTTTCCTTACTCCACACTAATAATAATCCCTCCAAATTGGTCATTTTCAATCTACGACTGTTTGTGGGACATTGCTGTGCGCAATTGGCTGCCGATTTGCCCACAAATATACAGTCAAATCACTTTACAGTGTGTTCTGTGAAGCGCTTTGGGACGTCCTCCTGATGTGAAAAGCGCTATATCAAATGCAAGGATTATTATTATTATATATATGATTTTGTGAAAAAGTGTTGTTGTTAAGCAATATAGGTATTGAAATTATTCTGTATCTGTTACATAAACAAAACACTAAATTAATCCAATAGAGAAATGCAGTTTGTTGCCACCATTTGGAGTTGCTGTAGGTTTATAAACTGACTATCTGACAGTTGATACCATTACTCTTAAGATCTTTAGCACACAGATGTCTGTTTCAACGCATGCGATAATCCACACATTCTTTATCACACCTATATAATTGTAAACTGTCCTATGACAGCATTATCTTCACCAATTGTAAACTCAAAACTCTAAAATTTCCCCTTCAGTGTCCTCATGAATTTAACTCCTCTTTCCTTTTTACTAAGGTACAGTTTCACTGGCTCTAAATACCCTCTGTTACCTTGCACACCATTTATTTTTGAATATTAATGATGAGTGTCACAGGCTATGAAAGCCATGGAACATAACACTGAGGAGGCCATTCAACCCATCGAGTCTGCTCTGCCAGTTTATTATAATATAATAGTAATCTTCACATTTGGCATTGTGCCTTATCACGTTGTCGAGGCATCTCAAAACGCACTTAACAGGAATATACTGTTAAGTGATGTGACTGTATATATCTGTGACCAATAATTCTGGATCTTTTAATCCCACTTCCCGCCTTTTCCATACCCCCTTATACTTGCTTCCCATGTTCCTGTCTCCTTTTGAAACATCCCAATTGATTGTGCCTCTCCGACCTTCTGGACCACTGCATTCCACATTCCCACAACTCTCTGTGAGAAGAAATGTCAAAGGAGCACACAGCTGATATTGATTCCATTTTGACCTGGCATCCACAGTTTTCAACAAGAGCAAAAACCATGACTTGTCTCTTCCTCTCTACTCTATTAAGGCTGCTAAAAGCTATTAAAATAATTGTGGCAAACTATGTTGTGGTAAAGTATAATGAAACCTTCATCATTGGCCACCTGGTTTCTGCCAGGATGTTTTGTCCTGTAAGTAATTTGTACAATTAATTTTTTTTTTGCATGTGGAGTACAAAGATCTGTTTTTTGATATTGATTGATGTAGGTAGGGAAACTCTTCATTATAATAATAATCTTTATATATTATAATAATTTGATATAGCGCCTTATCGCGTCATTGAGATGTTTCAAAGTGCTTCACAGAATATATTAGAAAGTGTATTCACTGTGTATTTAGTGGACAAAACGCGGCAGCCAATTGCACACGCTAGTGTCCCACAAACAGCCGTGGATTGAGTGACCAGTTATTATTTTATTTATTATCCACCAATTCCAGTTTTCTACCATGAAGGGGCATCACATTACAATGCTGGATGATCACAATTCTGCTGCAGTTAATATGGAACCTTGTAATTTAATATCTTGTGACTTTTTTAAAAATCAAAGAATCAATGGTGCCAGTCATGATAAAGATCTGCCTATCCAGTAACCTAATACTGTACTATATACATGAAATAAAGGGATCGTTCATAGGCATAACCTCAGGGCCTTACACAAAACTAGAACAGCTTGACCTGAGATATCTACACTACTTTTAATAATAATTATAATCTTTCATTTAATATAGCGCCTCCTTGTCCTCCTTGACATTTCTGCTGCCTTCGACCACTCTATCCTCATTCACCGCCTCTCCTCTCACCTCAACCTTCATGGTTCTGTCCTTGATTGGTTCAGATTGTACCTCTCACACCGCTTCCACTTCATCTCCACAAACGGTTTCTCCTCCAGCCCCCGCACCATCTCGTGTGGAGTTCCTCAGGGCTCCTTGGTCCCCTCCTCTTCAATATCTGTATGCTCCCTCTTGGTGACATGGGGTCAACTTCCACATGTATGCGGATGACACCCAACTCTACCTCTCTGCCTCCACCCTCGACTCCACGACCACTGCTGTCCTGACAGAATGTCTGTCGGATATCAAGTCCTGGATGAGAGCTAATTTTCTTCAGTCAACAAGACCGAGACTCTCATGTTTGGCTCCCGTCAGCACCTCCTCACCTCAGGCATTGACAGCTCAAGATCCTGGTCCTCACCTTTAAAGCCCTTCATGGTCTTGCTCACCTCTACCTCTGCGACCTCCTAACCCCTACCATCCTACTCTCTTCCTCCACTCAGCGCGCTCCAGCCTACTTCACTTCCCCCACCACGCTCGCCACACTATTGGTCTCATCCCCTCCCTTGCCTCCTTCAAGACCCTCCTCTTCGACCGTGCTTTCGATCTCCCTGCTTCCCCACCCCTGCCCTCCCCCCTACCCCACTCCCAGCTCAGCTCCGAAACTCTGTCTGTCCAGCGCCTTGGGACATCCTTCCGACATGAAAGGCACTATGCAATGTAATTTTGTTGTTGTTATCACATCTTCAAGACGTCTCAAAGCGCTTCACAAAATGTACTGTAAAGTGAATTGACTGTATTTTGTGGGTAAAACACAGCAGCCAATTGTGCACAGCAGTGTCCCACAAACGGTCGTGGGAGGTTATTCACAGATAGAG